AAACCAAATTAGAATTCCCACATCCCTTACATTTCATCATTTTAACTCAAAACAAATCTGTCACAACTAAAAACAATCCAGAAACAAAAATCGTGTAGAACAGTATAATCTTTTTTCTAAAGAAAATCTATTTATATTCTGTGATTAATTTTGTTGAGACGGGGCGAAAATACGCGCAAAATTATTATAAATTGACGTACCGCAAGTGTACGAGCAATACCGTCCGGGACTCGGCTGTCGTGAATAATTACCCTGCTTTCAGGCAATTTATTATTAAGATGAGGCATCTGTTTTAATTATTTTTCCCCCAAGTTGAAATAAATCCCGCTAGAATCCAGGATTTGTCAACCCGAAGTAAATGAAATGCATGATTACTTACTAGAGACGTTTAGAACATTTTTCTATGAGTTATAATAGTATAGAAATGAATTAATTCTCGATACAATCCATCCAAAACACATTATACCTATCTAATCCCTAACACATAATCGACAAGAAAACGATCCGTCACCATCCATCAAAATTGTTACTATCCATACACACGCTCCACGAGCGTACCCAATCTATCACCTATCACTCAAACAATCCTCCCTTTCCTCCCTATCCCTATCCCTATCCCTCCCTTTCGAAATGTATTACTCGCAAAACCTTCATAATCGTGCATTACATCATCAGTACTAAGGTTTTAGTGCAGAAATTGTCTTATGTTACGCTTAAAACTACGTCAAAGCGATTGAAATGAAACAAAAAGTGTTTTCGTTGGGTTGTAATGATTGATAACGAGCGTCTACGCCAATAATTTAATGTCCATCTCGTTTGGCATTGTGTTACGTGCCCGTTTCCTACCGATTAACATCTGTTTACGTACGGCAGTACCCGTAACATACCTACATCCAATATCACGGTTGGATGGATCTGACGTTGAACTATTAATCCTTCTGCGGAATTGGTAATGCAATGGTTACGCGGGATATTGGTAGTTAAAGTGATATTGGTCGAAGCAAAGCCATTAATCATCATATATTATGTTCTTTTAAAATTATGAGAAAATAAGTTTTTTTGGAGTCGTAAAACTTCAAGAATTCATCTTTTGTGATTATCGTTATAACAGGAATTTTGATGAATAAATGTATTTTGTAACAAGTAAAAAATATCATATCTAAAAATTCAACACAACAAAGTAATGTACGTACTTAGAAGTAGAAGTAAAAGAGGTATTTCATTCAACAACATGAAAGCCATCTGATGGGAATGTTTTCAAGTCTAAAAGCACTTCCATCTGAATATATCGTTGAAGAAGCAACGAAGCGATGGTTTTAAAAGCGGCAGCTTTCCGTTTCATCCGTAATGCATCGCAAATTTGTATCGCAATTAGCGACGTGAAGAGAGCCCTCTTATTAAAAGCGAGAACGGTAAAGCGGAACAGGTTGGATGCGTCTGGACGGGGTCCAAGAGGAGGCTTCCCGTTCGTGGAAACTTCAAAACATAGCTAAGTAGACGGCCCAAAGTTTAAATCCGATGTACACGAGGCTTATTTGGCATTTTGGAACAAAAGTCCGCCCGGTAATTTAGCACCCGGGTGCAAGTTTTAAGTGGTTTAAACCAAGTTTCAACTAAAAAAAAAAGGATGCTTTAATCCTTGAAACAATTTTTAAAACATTATCTATCAAAAGTAACGAATTACATGAAAACAAGTTTAATTTATGTTATACTTAACTTCCTCTAAAAAAAAACTTTACGGTCCCATGCACATGTTCAATCCCGTTTGTTTAATTGGGCGATCCACCGCGGGGTTACGTTACTTGATGTTACCAGTTTTCGATCAGATGATTTCCCGCGGGTGTGATTCGGACGCTGCGCCACCCTTTAAAGCTTGAAAGCTCACAGTCGTTCCTCAAGTCCTCAAACGTCGAACATTTAAATACAATTACCAGATAAATCCCAAGTTTCTTTAAGCTTTCCTCCGTGAAATGCGGCGTCTATTAACCGCGAAGAAGATAAGCTTGTATGGTCTTGTTGAAAAGCCCGAAGGGGAATTGGAGGATCGCGATTTCAGGTTGATTTTATTCGGTTCGCGTGTAAGGAAGGATGCCCGTCGTCGATAACCCTATTTTACTCGAATACAAGAACCTCGGTTTTAGTTTAAATAAGGGACATCGCTAGCTGGTACGGGAAAAATCGATTCAATACTTTAGGATTTTAAAAGTAATAGAACAGGATCGTTTTACAAACGCAAAGTTTGATTTATTTTAAGACATTTTATTTATTATTTTTGGTCACGTAATGTGTTTTTAAAGTAAATAAAAGCTTACTTTGGGCGGGATTTACCGTGCTTTTTCTTTTTTGTACTTTTGGATTTCTTCTTAGCCACTAGAAATTACAATTAAGTTATCTACTTGTTTCATTTTTTTGTCTTTTAATGTACCTTGATCAAATCGGCAATAATGTTGTTAACATCATCTACAACTTTTGCAACTATAAGCAAAATGATTAATGGTAAAATCGAATTGTAAAAGACAAAATTTTTACCTCTATCTTCTACCGTTTCTTCATCAACTCCTTCTATAGCTATCACTGAAAAATTTAGGTATTACTTTTTTAAAACAATTATATGAAATGTATGTTCTTACAATATTCATGTATGGTGTTTGAGTTGGTTGATATCTGATGGCCTATGGCACGTAAATTATTAGTAATTTCATCAATATTTTCGGAATTAACTGGAGTTTTTTGAACATCATCGAAGTTTTTTCTGTGAAATGGAAATTTTAATTAGTAATTAATAAGGCAATTTCATCCAAAATTCATATTTACTATACATATCCAAAATTTTTAAACGGGTTCGTAAGTCTAGAGAGTTCATATAAGGTGATACAAAACCAAACATAAGACCTCTTATTTCTTTCAACCCATTCTTGATTTTCTCAGCTAGAATATTAATCTGAATAATTTTAATTCGCTATAAATATTACTTTATGTTACCAGTATCATCAATGGAATCTAAAATATAACGTTACTTTATGTCATAAAAAAAAAGAATTTTTATTATATTTACATACCTTCAGAAAAAACGCTCCTGGTGCATGTTGAAATGATTAATAAAAGTATTAAAAGATTCATAACTTGTTAATCTTCTTTGAACCGCCTTTGATTTTACATCGGCTTTGTGTACAACTTCTATTTATGCACATTTTAATTAAAATAGCCATTACCAGATAAGACATTCTTCTAAATATAAATTGATATTAATTATTTTCATCAACTTAAATAACAAACAATTGTTTTAAACCTGGTAATACTCAAAAATAAAATTGTAATGATCTTATAATGTTATAATGAAAAATGAAAACAACTAATAATAATATAAATAATATTAATTTCAACCTTGTGGGGTATTAGTAATTAGATAACAATAACCAATAGTAAACAACAAAAATAAATTACACAACTAACATTTTTGCTTTGAATAAAACATAGTCTGGTAGATAGATTTTTGGAAATTGTTTAAAACACCTTGGATTATAGAAACCGTTTTATTACCAAATAGAAAATGTTTTAATAATGAATTCAATGTTAGTTTTAATTGAGCCAGATCTATACTAATCGTAACAAACAATTCATCCCATATATAACTAAATGAGAATCTGTAAGCAAATTGAGCAACTAATTGATAAAAGGAATGAATAGAAACGGTTCAAAACTGAGCCCTGTCATCTAGGTTGATGGAAGATTTAGTGGAGCAAACTTCTACAAAACAAAAAGACCAAATTTATGAAGTGACCATGTATGCTACACAGTATAACTTAATCAATACATAAATTGACTAGAAAATTGACAATCCTTGTACTAATGGTTTTTTCAAATACGTTAGTAAACACACTACAAAGAGCAATATTCAGAAATATAGGTCTTTTCTAGAATATATCTGCCAAAAATACGTACTGCAAAGATCTACTAAGCGTATTGGAATCCGCAACATAAAGTCCAAAAACAGATCCCACTTTATCAGAAACTGCAGTCAAAAAAACGCCAGTTAGATGTCTACAGAGAATAGAAGTACATATTATAGTAATTTGTCAATAAAAAAATTCCAAAGCTTTTATCATTCAATTTTGAAAACCTGTTGAAGGTATACTCAAGTACATAATAACTTCAACGTCAAGTAAATCCTCATGGCAACAATAATTTTCTTTCTGGAAAAGTTGCTTGTATTTATTTACCTGCAAGTTGCGTTCAGGCTTACCTATGGCCTTATTTTAGTACCATTTTGCCATTCTTCCTGTAAACCGCTTATTTTTAACAAGTTAAGGAATAACAAATTATTGGAGAATATGATGATGCGTGTGAATCTTGGTTTTATGATAACTTCCATGTCTTCACACTTCACCGATTGCTATTATTATTATGTTTTTTCATAGACGAATCTGTATTGGCATGTACAGTATTGAAGTAAACATCAAAAACTAGTTTAAGTTCAACTTCTTGCTACAGGTCATTTTTTTTAGCTTGTTTGAGGATGTGTTTTCTATGCTTTTTCCACAGTCAGAGGAGTTTCTTTGCCTTTATGATTTCTATAAAAAACTAGAATAATCTTGTAATAAATATGTTGACACATCATTTGCTGAATAAAGTTTGTCTCTTCACGAAGTCATTTAATAAACTTCAGACGCGTCTATACGATAAAATCATATTTCATATCGATGTTTACATGTTATCCATTTTGAGAGATCATGTCATTACCTTTTTACTGTTATTAGAGTGCAAGCGTCAGAAGCGTTTTCTATTTTCTCTTCTTATGTTTTAAGTGATAGTTTTGTCATTAGCGTTGTGCTGAGACATACTAACGATATAATTGTGCAAGGATGTTTTATTAAAATAAGAATTATAAATATAAATAATTCTTCAAAAACGAAATTAATATTAATAATATATTTAAAGCCCAGTAATATTTTAAAATAAAATTGAAAATAACAAAATCTGCTTAGTTTTTTACCTTTATTTTATACATTTTTACTTGGTATACTTTCTGCATTTTGGTATTTACTGTTTTAATTAAAATAACTCAATTAATAGTTATTTAATTTCTTGCCCTTAAGGAATTTAATTTAGCCATAACAAAAATCATTTACTACAAAAAATATAATTTGCAAAATAAACTCAGGATTGAAAAGATACATATTTACCTTCATCTTCAACACTTTTAATCTTATCCAAATTTAATACTGAAAAATTTTAATTTTAAATTTAATTTTAATTATAATTGTCTTTGTTCTTACAATATGTATACACTTGGTGTATGATGTAAAATACTGAATCGTCCATTCTATAGAGAAGATCAAGCATTCTATCATGATTTGCACGACTTATTCGAGCATTCCTCATTCGAAGATCAATTACTGCAAATAATTAATAAATAAGTTTATGATTCTCATGTTGCTCTTCTCATTGTCCATGATAAAAATATCTATTAGATAAGCCAGAGATAGGTTTGTATGGTTATTGTTTCTAAGTATGTGGCATTGTCAAAGTCAGTTTTGGGTATCTAAAGAGTACGAACTGGTCATGTTTGGCGAATATATTATACTGTTATTAGCATAGTTTGATGAATTGAAATAAATTAGGAAGACCGATTACTATATATGATATAATATTAAAAAAGTATAACCATAAAGTTAGACTACTCTAGCACTTTCGCATGGTCAAATTGTTTGTTATCGTGTTCTGTTCACAAAACAACACAAAAGACGTGTGTTACAGTGATATGAGTCGTAGGGTATGACTGCATCTGTTTGTGTTGGTTGCATCGTACAGTTTGTCGTTTATATTTTTCGGAAATTCTGAACACTAAATAGAGTGTTTCAGAAATGTTTCATACGAAGGATAACATTTCCGAATCTGTTCATAATGTGCTCTTTGATTAATTTTTTTTGACAAAGAAATTTTTTTAATTTAATTAAATTAATTTGATAATTTGTTCTTTACTTACTTATATCATGTATTTCTCGAAAAGATTTCTTTATCCTTGATTCTGTTACATATAAATAATTAATCAGTAATCAAAAAGTAGATAATTAATATTTACTATGAACATCCAGTATTTTTACGCGATCATCTAACGATATAAATTTCGAATTAGATTCTATTGAAACATTTCCTATATTGATTAAGTCATCATCGATGTCAAATACTGCAATATTAATATGAATAATTTTATGTCTAGATAATCAGTACTTGACCCTATTTTTTTTTTACCTTCAGATGATACAGTTTTAGTAAGTCCTACAACGATCACAAAATATATGCATGGATTCATTATAAGTTACAACAATTCTCTAAACTAACTTTATTGTTAAACCTTATATTTATAAATACTTGCAATATTATTTAAATTATTTTAATTATCCTTTTATCTTACTAATTATTTTTAATCTTAATTATACATAATTATGTTTATAATGAAAAAGCAACACAACTTACCTGATTTTTTTTCTATTGGTTCATAATTTAATACTTGAAAAACAATTATTTATTTCTATGATTATTTGTGTTCTTAAAGTATAGCTAAAAGTTCCCGTTTCTTGTTGTTCTTATACTATATCTTCTAAGTACACTCTTATTTATCACTGTTTCTATACCCAGCAATTCTTTGAAATATTTGATTTTATATGGTGTGAGGCTTGAAACCCTGTTTCTGTCTCTCTATGTATTGATAAGTATTTCTTGTATTGTTGTTCTTAAATTTTTTCTCCTTAGTCTTTGTCCGCTTTCTTTATAGATTTCTTCCCTCTCGCGTGTTGGTCGTTCCGTATATTTTATGAAAGCTTCATCAATTTGCGCAATGTTGTCTCTGCATTTTTTGTTGAACCATGGTTTTGTTTTCCTTTTTTCTGCCACTTTCTTCTGCCAAGACTTTTTTGGTATTAGTGATTCTAGCAGTTTCTTTTCGAAGTTGTTTCCAGTACTTTATCTACTTCGTATGTCCATCTTTACAATATTTCTGTGTTATTTAAGTTACCTATGGTCAGGTTTTCTTGTTTCAGACTACCGTGTATTGGTCTAATCTATCTATTCTATTCTCTGAATGTTCTCAAGAAAGGTTAGGGTTCAATGTATGATTTGCCCTTTTAAATAATAGAATTTGACATATAGTATCTACTATGAAAACTTAAACTCACGTAGATACCTCTGTAATGGTTGTAGTTTAGGTTAATTTAGTTCAGTTTCAAGGAATTTTTAATACTTTATTTTTCCTAAAAAAGGTTTTGATATCATTCTACCTAAACAATCTGGCTTTCGTTGCACTAAAGGTACGACACGTTGTTTTCATTTCTTCAATTTAGTGATTTTTCGTTGTTCTACAGTACACCCCTTTATCATATATTTAATATCTAATACAATATTTAACATATAAAAGCAAACTTTGTACATAATAGATTAATGTGTGGAGCGTAGAGCTGATTACGGCACAGGAAATTATTAATAATAACTTTAAAAAGTATCCAAAAAGGATCTATACACCTACTCAACATTGTCTTGTAATCAATTCCCCAGTTATAGTGTATTAGGGTTTTTATATGTATTAGGGTTCTTTGCTTTAACTTTTCAACTATGATGATGTTGTCTACGTTTCTTGTAATAAATATGTTGAGACATCGTTTGCTGTATAACGTTTGCCTCTTCATAAAATCATTCAATATATTTCAGGCCCCTATTTATACAATAAAATCACATTTCATTCCGATGGTCACAACGTTAGCGTTGGGCAAGGATTTTTTATTAAAATAAGAATTACAAATATAAGTAATTCTTCTAAATCGTAATTAATATTTATAATATATTTAACGTTAATTTATATTATAAACTGAAACCAAAAACTATAAAATTAACAGTTTTTCTCCTTTATTTTATACATTTTTACTTAGTATTTTTACCGTTGAATATATTTTAATTAAAATAATTCAGTTAATCATTATTTAATTTCTTGTCCTTAAGGAATTTAATTTAGCCATAACAAAAATCGTTTGCTACAAAAAATATAATTTGTAAAATAAACTCAGGATTGAAAAGATACATATTCACCTTCATCTTCAACACTTTTAATCTTATCCAAATTTAATACTGAAAAATTATAATTTTAAATAATTTTAATTACAATTGTCTTTATTCTTACAATATGTATACACTTGGTGTATGATGTAGAATGATGAATCGTCCATCGTATGGAGAACATCATGTATTTTATCATAATTTGCAGGATTTATTCGAGCATTTCTCATTCTAAGATCAATTACTGCAAATAATTAATAATTAATATTGTTGTCAGCAATATGGTTTAATCTTTAAACGATTTTATATAACACTTTTGAATGTTGAAACATCACTTTTTCGAGTACTGTTTAGCTATTTAGTATTCCTTCTATGTCGCACTTTCCAGTTTCACATTTTAAAATCATCACAACTCTAACAAGCCGGAGAGCAGTGGCTGAATTTGAATATGACTAGTTGGAAAAGTTAAATCCTAAACTAGCTCTTTAGTTCTGATAAAAAAGGGTAGTATTCATGTTGATTGGCCTTTTTTGTGAGGGAAAATTCTCTTGAATACAAGTCAGACTACGGCGTCAAGTCATTTAATCTTTACTTCTTATTCTTTTGAGCCATCAAGATTAATCTCATGTCTAAACCTAATTTGTTCATCTTCTTTATCATAGGCTGTCTTTTCTGAACATGTAACATTGGTTCCTGCTAATATTCGTAAATGTACTCGTTTAAATGTTTCTCATTTTGCTCTTCTCATTGTCCATGATAAAAATATCTATTAGACGACCCAGAGATAAGTTTGGATGGTTATCGCTTTTAGTTAAGTGGCATTGTTAGGTCAGTTTCAGGTATCTAAACCAACTTGCCATGTTTGGCGAATATATGATACTATTATTAGCATAGTTTGACGAATTGAAATAAATTAAGAAGACCGATTACTATATAGGATATAATATTAAAAGAGTTTGTGATCTATTATTGGTTAACCGCTGAACTTAGCGTAAAAAGTACTCAGAGACATAACTCTGGTAAAATTTGTTAGTTTATTGATCACTCGTTGTCTTTCCCAGATAGACTGGGTACTGTCGGTACTGTTTGTGTAATAGTACCTACATACCGTTGGTAACTTGGCGGTTTTCTGATCCATTTTGAGAGCTCATGCCATCACCTTGTTACTGTTATTAGAGTGCAAGCCTCAGGAGCATTTTCTATTTTTTCTTTTTATGTTTTAAGTGAGAGTTTTCTCATGTCAAGTAATATCTTGAGATAATCTCTCAAATAGTGTTTATATTTTTCGAAAATTCTAAACACTAAATAGAGTGTTTCAAAAGTGCTTGATACGAAGGATAAGATTTCCGAATGTGTTCATTATGTGCTCCTTGAATAATTTTTTTTGACAAAGAATTTTTTTTAATTTACTTAAATTAATTTGGTTATTTGTTACACAATCTTCTTTACTTACTTATATCACGTATTTCACGGAAAGATTTCTTTAACTTTAACTCTGTTATATATAAATAATTAATCAGTAATCAAAAACTAACAAGTAGATAATTAATATTTACTATGAACATCCAGTATTTTTATGCGATCATCTAACGACATAAATTTCGAATTAGATTCTGTTGAAACATTACCTATATTGATTAAGTCATCATCGATGTCCAATTCTGTATTATTAATATAAATAATTTTATGTCTAAATAATCAGTACTTAACCCCATTTTATTTTTACCTTGAGATGACACAGTTTTAGTCAGTGCTAAGACGATTATAAAATATATGAATGGATTCATTATAACTTACAAAAATTGTCTAAACTAACTTTATTGTTAAATTTTATATTTATACATACTTGCAATATTATTTAAATTATTTTAATTATCCTGTTATCTTACCAATTATTGTTAATCTTAATTATACAAAATTATGTTTATAATAAATAAGCAACACAATTAACCTCATTTCTTTTCTTTTGGATCATAATTTAATACATGGAAAACAATTATTTATTTCTATGCTTATTTGTGTTCTTAGAGTATATTTAAAAGCTCCTGCTTCTTGTTGTTCCCATACTTCATCTTCTAAGTACACTTCCTCATTTATCTCTGTTTCGATACCCAGCAATGTGAGGCCCTGTTTCTGTCGCTTTATATATTTATAGGTATTTCTTGTATTGTTGTTCTTAAATTTTATCTTCTTAGTTATTAGTCATTATCTTCGCATTATCTTTCATTTTTTCTACAGCCTATATCCGCTTTCTTTATGGATTTCTTCCCTCTCGCGTGTTGGTCGTTCCGTATATTTTATGCAAGCTTCATCAATTTGCGCTATGTTGTCCCTGCATTTTTGTTGAACCATGGTTTTGTTTTCCTTTTTTCTTTAATTTTTGCACTCATGTCTCCAATGATTATGTTGATGTCATTTTTAAGTGAAGAGTTATATACTAATTGTAGTTGTTGGTTGAATGATTCTTTTATTTCTAGATCTTTTTCTTCATTTGGACAACATACATTAATTATTGTGGAACTGGAAAACTATGTTTTAACACGTAAAGTAGATATTCTTTCACTCCTGCTTCATTGCCGCTGTATAGGATAGTATATGTTGTGGTATCTCTGATACCTTATCCTATCCATCTTGTTTCCTGAAGTATTGTTATTGTCATGTTATACCTTCAAGAACTTCAAGTAATGCCATTTCTGCTCCCGGTTATTCAATGTACGCACATTTCATATTCCTATCGCATACTCCAATTTTCTGTTCCATGACCGTAATACGCGTCCATTCCAAGGCTCTTTTTAAGATTTCAACAATCCTTTTTTTTCAGGTGATGGGTTGTTAACAGATACCAAGCTACTCAATCCACTCGTAACAGCCCCAGGCGTACTTTCTTATGATATTTTGGTTTCTAAGCATTCTTATTAAAATCGTTTTTTTGCAACTAGAGAGAGTTTCGCGTTATTAGATGTCGATTCTTAGTGGCTCATAGAATTTAGAAAGTTTTTGATAACATAATGTAATAAAAGTTTGCTAAAACTGTTCCTTACTCGATTTTGAAAATTTTATATACACAAAATGTCTTCCATTTAAATTATATTGTAACTTTTCAAACAATTGTTTGAAATGTCTCCTTTACCAGATGAAATCTAAATAAAATTTAAAACGATTTTTATTGTTACAATTATTGTGATTCTGGCAATTGAAATTTTGTTTATGGTTTGATTGCATAGTGAGTATCTCGCAAATAATAAGCTATCTGCAAAATTGTAGTATTTATTGAGGATTGTATAGCAATCTTCTTAAGAACATCATAGGGGCGGATAAATGGAAAATTTGCTTGTACTTCAAGCGTGTTATCAGATAATAAGAGTAATTGCCAAAAAGTAATACCGGCAAATATTCAGAAGATAAACGTATACGTATGTTATTCGCCACACAATTTATATTAAACCAATGTATCACATTTCCCTTTACATATAGATATATATATAGCATGCGATCAACATTTATACCACCAAATTTGCTATTGTGTATTTATCATTATTTTTAACTATAATTATACACAATTACGTATATAAGGAAAAAGCAACACAATTAATATCTGTATCGTTTTTTAGATTACTATTAAATACTTAAAATACATAATTCCTATGATTATTTGTATTTGTAAAATATCTATAAAAGCTCTAGCACAGCAAATCGTTGCGTTCTACATTTATTTAATTTAATTTAAGACCTCGATAACATTTAATAAACTACGTTAATATTTTTTGATAAAACTACAGGTTAATGGATCTTCTTTCTAAGTTTTTAGACCTTTTACTATCACTGTTACCATCCGTCGTGGTAGGTTCCAATAGTTTTGCAATAGTATTATAATTGTGTCTAATATCTCCCAAACTGCTGTCAACTACAAAAATAAATGGTTACAAACAATTTTTTATTTTTCTATTTATTTCGAACTTGATGATTTAACTTGTCCTCCCATCATATCACCTCGTGGCCGAATATGTGTTCTAAAATTTATATATGTGTTATAAAAATATAATCAAACATAAAACGTTACCTAACGTAGCTGGAATTGTTCTTATTGCAGTGGAAATCATCGGAAGCGTGATGTTTGTTACTTCTATTTTTCCGTTAAGAATTCCATGTACTAAGATGTATATAAAATGAAAACGAGAAATAGATTATACTTTTCAACTTCATATATGACTGCTTCTTCTCAGCAGTCATAGCCTTAAAATTTTTGATATTTAGTAACCCTATCGTCTTTGCAAGCTTGATGCAACAAAAGGTGTTACTCGCCCGATAAAAAATATGTTTGATTCACCGGAAGTTGTGAGTGGTTGTTAAGACTGGAGAGGTATTAGGTTATTGAGTATTCGATCTTATTGACACTAATGAGCGTTTGAACATCTACAAGAGATTGCTAGAACCAGGTCCTAACTAACTTCTTAGTCTTTACATAGGTGGCCGTTCATTCTTGACCATTGATATAGCTTTCTTTAATGGTGATCAGTTGAATTTTTCTGCCATTGCTTTGTAGAACACTCCCAGAGGATGATACTGCAAGCATATGACAATTCATTAATATCAGGATGGGTATTTTTTAAGATTCCTTGTAAACTGTGATATAATGGAAATGCATCATCAGCCACAGAACATTGTGAATGTTGTTGTGGAAGGCTTTTCGAATTATCTTAGTGTTGGAGGAGTGTGGGTTCTTTGGTGCACTATTTACGGCGGTTTTACCGGTGCGTGTATTGCTGTGCTTATCAAATAAATATACAGCTTACAAAGATTGAAACATAAAATTATTTGTTCATTGACTGCTTCTTTGTCAATTTGTAATACTTGGTAATAAAAGGATTTTTTGTAACCGATCTTTTTTTTGACAAATCCCCCATCCCAAAGTTGAGTAACTACACGACAAGTTATATGGAGTAAAAGATAAGTATCTTAACGCATATTTCTTTACACATACCTGTGGAACCATACTTCCTCAATAAGAATTTCTTTTACGTTAATTATCTGCACATTCTAGCGTTTGATATTGCAACATAGAAGCTTGATCTATCAATCTTCAACGCAATCATTGTAATTAATACGATTTTACAATTTTTGTCAATACTGGAGGCTCGTTGTTCGCAGTCATTAACACATTATTTGTAAAAGTCTTGTGGAAAGCCTAAACCTCGTCAATCTTTATAAGATCATTGAAAACTGCGGTTCAAAAAATATAATTCGAGTACTAACTGAACTAAGTTGCTAAGAAAGTTAGCGAATCTAATTCAGAATACTGCAGAAAACAATTTTAATCCAGAATATGTTCTTATGGAAAGCGTTTTGTTCGGCCCAAAATTGGTATAATTGTTAAAACTCCTAAATCAAGATCTAAATGACGATAATGTTGATTTATTATTTAATTATTTTCACGTAATGAGTAACAATACATAATAATATCTGACACTTTTTTCATTTTATTCATAACGTAACAAATTCCGAGACTGTTTTGCTGAAAATAAATGACATAGACACCATATCGAATTAGTACCCCCCACGATCTGGTTGCAATTACATTCTTTACTGAAACCAGCTGGGATATCAATTCTGTAGAGATGACTAGGCCTCTTAAAAGCAACGTCGTTGTTCAGGATTGGAACGAATTAAAAGTACTAATCGGTCGTATCCATACGATCGTTAGTGATTTATCTGAAAACGGGGTGGGGTGTTAATGTCCGGAGGGTGGCAAGGTATTGTACTCTCTTCTTGGACTCGGGGAAATATGATTAATGGGACCCTATCGATTTAATTAGAAGGTGAACGCGGGGAATTTTGTGCGATGACGTGCGTAATTTATAATTGTATCTATCGGCGGGTGGCGGATATTAATATGACGCGTGAATCTTACTAATAAATCAAATGATAAAGAGAATTTGAATTGTTAAAAAAAATTATAGGATATCAAAAACTTTTTATAAATAAAATTAAAAAAAAAAGTAAGTAGACGTTAAACCTCTTCGACAAGCGTATTTACCCTTGCAAATAGGAGGCAAAATAAAAATCTTATTTAACTTTTCGATGAGGAGCAGTAGCAGCATCATTAAAAACGGTGCTCTTCCTCCCCAAGCACGGAAGAGACGCGAAAAGAATAATACGGCAGCCCCCTCATTGTGTGCAACTCAATAAGAAAGCTTTGGGGGTTTGGTGGTCGCATGAGCTTCTCTCGGAGAGGAGATTTTGAAAAGCGTCCTCCTCGTCGTGGAGGTGTGCGAGGAACGATGTCTATAGATAGGAGCTCCTCATTACCGCCTTCCTTTCCGTTCGAATCGCCAAACGTGCTTTATTATTCGTGCACATCAGTGATTCAGCAGAAACCGCCGCAGACTCCGTCGCGGCAACGATCGAACAAAATTTTATATACTTCCAATCTCAAGGTGTGTTTACAACAAACGAGATTAAAATTTCAATTTCATCAAATTTACTTTCCAGAAAATTACTTTGGTGTAGAGAAAAAGGAGATCGATATGTAATTTCGTAGAACTTTCAGTTTTATTCAAATTCTAATACGATTCCTAATTCTGATGTCAGTTTTTCTTTTTCATATAAACTTCCCTTTAACACATAGGAGAACTTTTCTTATTCCGCATACTCGTATCCGAGCGCAGGTAGGAGTTCTTGAATTTTTAACCCAGCAAATTGAATGCTTCGGCGCAAGTCTACGGATCGTAGGGCTGTAGATGCATGGAGATGGTAGTTTTATTGCGACGGGAGGTGCGCAAATCGCCGGATCTAATGGAATA